CTAGGCTTTCCTACTTCCATACTCCTCATGGTAGTTTAAACTCAAACTACATTTTTATGTTTCATAAATGTTTTATATTTTACATACTTTTATAAACTATATGTTTATATTCTTGCCAATAGGCTCATCCAAGCCACAAAGTTTACAGAGACAGAGCTAGTGTAGGTACCTAGAGCAATATAGATGCATTAGCATAGCACTTCACCTGGACTAGTTAGCCTTCCTGTGAAGCTAGAAATATCAGCCCAAGAGAAGTCACAGTAGAGCAGCCATACTAACTTTCAGTCCCCAAATTAGCTTTTAGAGCTAGTTTGGTATCTTTATATCAGGGGTGGGCAAAATAGAGCCTGAGAGCTATATTCAGCCCACCAACTGACTGGATCCTGCCTGTAGGCAGGCAACAGCTCTGGCACCTGCATAATGCCAAGCAGCCAGGGGCTACTTCCAGTGTGCTGGGCATGCCATCTCTTTCTCTCTGGGCTGAGGCAGCCACCAGCACAGAAGCAGAAGCATGAACCTGCCCACTGCTGTAGTGCACCCGGCAACCACTCCCCAAGTCTGGACCCTGCAGCTGCTGGCCATGTCCACAGCTACCCAAACATGGGGGGCATGCCAGAGCTATGGACTGGTTCAGGCTTCCACACTGGTAGCACCCCCCAAACCCTCCTCCTGAAGCCCCAACAGGGAAGCTGCCGGCCACATGTGGGCAGCTGCGGACATGGACAGCAGCTGCCAAGTCCAGCCTTGGGGTGGGGTGGTTTGCTAAAACTGCAGGCAGGTTCAGGCTTCTGAGCTGGTCACAGCTGCGGGAAAGGCCCTTGATAGGTCACCAAAATTCATTAAGTGGACTGCCAGCAAAAATAATTACACACACCAGCTCTACATGGTACTGCATGCAGAGATGCCATGCAGACATGCACAACAGTTTCAGTTCTTTTGTCTTCCAAGTGCGATGCTATTTTTCTACTAGTAGTCTGCATATCATTTTTAACCATTTTCAGAGTGCTTGTCAGAGTTCCCCCTGCCCCCTTCCCTCACCAAGACACGGGTCTGGCTATGGCTGCCCCACCCCGCTGGTTTTTAGCGCTGAGCATCCTTGATATGCCAGTGCCCTGCCCATACCATCGCCCCCCACTCCCAACCCACAGCCCCCGTCTGTCCATCCCCAGCCCTGCTGGTGCTGCTCACTCCCAACCTACTTCACCCTGTCCCCAGCCACCCAGCGTGTCGGGAAGTCGGGAGTATATATGTGTGGGGCAGGGGGTGTGTATGCACAGGAAATGCCATAGGCAATATATTGCAGGATTCCTGTGCCCACAGCAGGGAATGAGGCTGCAGCCTGGCCAGACTGTCACCTGGCAGGAGCCATCTCCATGACCCAGCAGGCAGGTACCAGCATAGAAGGGAGTGCCATGCTGCCCTGAACCCCCAAGTGAGGCCCCCCCTGCCCACCCGACAGCAGCAGGGGGTACCATAGTAGCAGTGGCACAGAGCTGTGCCGCCGCCACCCCCCCCCCTGATGGATTGGCAGACAGTGCCTCACCTTGGTGGCCATGGCAGCGCAGCACTCCCAGCAGTGGTGGCAGCAGCAAAACTGATCCCACCTCACTCCACCCTCCTACACCGGGTCCCGTCCTCAGGGCCAATTGCCTATGGCCTCCCACCGCAACAGACTTACCTGCAGGGAGCTGGAGGAGCTGCTTCCCAGTTATATTGCTGGCCATGGGCATGTGTACGCACACACATGCATGTGGTGCCCCCTGCCTCTAACTGTCCTTCTCCTGCTCCCCCCAACCCCAAGCATATCCTTGAAGGCTGGAACTCTGCCATCCTGCAAGGAGAAACCTGTGGTTCCCCAAATTTTTCTCTTTTAAAAGAAAAAATCCATTTTTCCACGGGTACCAGAAAACCTGGATCTCTGGTAATGAGTCTAGCAAATCCTGCATAAATGTAGGGACACTAAGCCTAGTTCAGAGGCATCAAACACTCAGCCTCTAGTGCTGCTCCTGGGTCTGATCAGACCCAAGTAGAGAGTAGTGCATGCCTATAGCATGGGGCTGGGTTGCAGACCCCTGCCCCTCTGCTTCCCCCAAAATACCCAATCTGGGGCCCCTGCCAGCAGTGTGCAGCACAGGTCTTAGACTGGCTGGAGCAGGTGCCATATGCCCGGCAGTTCTGGAGCAGGCACTGTGTGCAGTGCAATCTGGCTGGAGCAGGCACCATGCGTGGTACAGCTGCTGCTCAGGCAGGACCATGCCACATGCAGCACCTGTTCTGGCTACTCTGGGATCTGTATTGCATGCACAGCAGGTCCAAGACCAGCTGAGGCAGTTGCCAAATCAG